TCTCCCTACATCTCTGTCACCCCCCACCCAAACCAGCGGCCCCTGATCATGTATCACTCTGCACAGAAAAACATCAGTACGCATACACCCCCGTTAATAATGTATGTACTCGCTACTGCACCCCACACACACACACACGCACACACACACGTTAAAATGAACGTGATGAAAAATAGAAACAAAACTTGTACTATTTGCTCCCTCGCCCCTAAGATTCTGCCCTGAGCCCACTGCTGGCCTGTCAGACCCTCCCTTTCCCAGCTGCTCCCATCCCCCTTCTCTGTTCAGCTGATGGCATAGACGCTGGGGACCAGCCTAGATTCCTCATGACCAAGCAGTCCCCAAATGCAGCTGCCTCTGCCTCCCACATCGTTCTGGAATCCCAGCTCCGCAGCGGCGCTGGGGTCCTGGTTCGGGCCTCCATCGTTTCATGCCTGAGCTGCTGAGAATAACCTCATCTCTACATCTCCAGCTGGTAGAGATCTGTTTGAAGATCCAGATGTGACCCTGGTCTTCTGTCGTTTAAAGCTCTCAGTGGTTCTGCACTGCCCACGAGGCAGAGGTCAGTCTCCCCTGGCAGATGTGACTCGGTCACGGTCTCCCGCCCCCACTTCGAAGACTTGGGCTGGAGAATGTGGGACACATAATCTGTATGTAAACATCGCCTCCCTAACACACACACTATGCCTTTCTGCAAATGTCTTTCCTACTGTTCTTTGCTTGACTGACTTCTAGCGGCCTCCCCTAAAGCCCAGGGTCGATCGAGACCCCACGCTTTCATCGCCCGCATAACTACTTGTCCCGTTCCGTGTGCTAGTGAAGGAATCTTTTTATAAGCCTGTCCTTCCAGATATAGGGCTTCTGACTCTGTGCCTGACGCAGAGAAGGCATTCTTTGAATGTTTGTGGAGCTTAACAGAGCCGGGTCGAAGGATGAGTTTGCTGAGCAGATAAGGGGAGAAGGAGCCTCCAGGCAGATACAGCCTGGACGCAGACTCTGCAGTGAGTTAGAGCATGACCTGGCCGGGAGACTGGCTGCAGACAGGCCAGGTCGGTGGGCAGGCGTGCGAAGGGCCCATGCATCCTACCCAGAGGCTGGATTTTACCCTTTATCCTTCATTCCCCGGCAGGGAAGGAGGTCAGTGACGGCTTTGAGGATGGCGGTGGCATGATCTAGTTGGCACGTTAGGAAGATCTCTACAGTGGCAAAGTGGAGCTGGGGCGTGACTCGAGTTGTCCGAGCTCACGCTGTGAGTCTCTTATTGTTGCAACACACATTTGAGAGCACGTAGACCTTGGTGGGAGGTTCTCTTTCTCCGTCCTGCACATGGGGGAACTGAGGCACAGCTAAGTAAATAACCTACAGCTACCCAGAGCCAGTGGTGGCGTTGGAATTCATGCGGGCGACGTGACCCGGAGCTTGTGCTCTGGTCACTACCCTGCCTGGGCTCTGGGGAGAAGTAAGGCAGGTCTGGCTACTGCACGAGCATTCCTGGAGGAGGGAACAGTCAGTGCGAAGGCCCTGGGGTGGCTGAGAGAGGGGTCTCGATCCCTCAGAGCTCTGTGGGCTACTCGGAGTAGGTCGCTCTGGTTGCCATGGGTACCAAAGGGCGAGCAGGAAACCAATGGGAGGCTCCTGCTGTGGTCCAGCTGAGGCGCGGGGACCCGGGCGGCGGAGGAGACGGGGACTGTCTGCGGCCGAGGCTGCCATGGCGGATGGAGCAGCAGGGGCGGCCGCGGGAGGTGCCTACCAAAGAAGTGAGAGAAAACGCGCTAGCTCAGGACCCTGTTACCGCCCCAGCAAGGGGCGTGAGTGGAGTGGAGAGGGGACAGGAAGAGAACCGGGCATGGGGAGAGGTCCAGCAAGGTCAGAGGTCACTGGGGGGCCCTGAGGTAGGGGACAGACAGTGTCCCTAGCCTTGGCCACCGCCATCCCACACTGTCATGCTGGAGTGAGCATCAAGGAAGGAGCTCCCAGGTAATGCTGAGAGCAAACAGAGCCTCGGGTCAATCTGTGAGCCCACTGGAAGCCAGGCGGCGTGTGCACTGTCAGGATCCCCGAGACCAAGAAAGGCCGCTGACCTCTGGCCCCTGTGGCTACCTTTCAGCTGATACCCCCTGGTCCCTGTCCCCGTTTCTTTCCCTGAGAGCACAGCACACAGCTCCCTCCCTGCTGCCAAAAACATTCAGCATTTCCCTAGAAACAGACAGCCCTCTATGCAAGCAGGCATCTGCTCCTTAGTGATCCTGGTACTCAACTTCTGAAGGCCTTTAGTGGTTTCTTGGACATCTTTGCCTCGCGGGGCATGTGGGAGGCTGTGAACACACCTGTGGTCAGGACACGGTGTAAGAGAGGGCGGGGCCATCCCATGTCTAATTTTGTTTCTCTCTGCAGGATTTGGCCTGGTCCATAAGCTACTATGTCCGTTTCTTTATCAGCTACGTCCCTTTCTATGGCTTCCTGGGATCCATCCTATTCTTCAACTTTATCAGGTGCCTGAGGTTTACTGGTCAATCCCTGGGTCCCCAAGCACTGGTGTTGTTGGGGGCTTTGATCCAAGGGCCCCAGGAGGAAAGGCTCAGAGGTTCCCACTTGCTGCTCTGGGTGTCACGTCCCAGCACTGCAGCTTCACATACCCCGCCCCCCACCACCACCACACACACACACACACACACACCTGCCCTGGGGCACTTGGAGCTGGGAGGGAGGAACTGTTCCCACTGCGGCTGGTCCTGTGGACGGCAGGTTGACGGGCTCCAGCACTGAGCTGTGTCCTCTCCCAGGTTCCTGGAGAGCCACTGGTTTGTGTGGGTCACACAGATGAATCACATCGTCATGGAGATTAACGAAGAGCCCTACCGTTCAGCAGCCAGGTGAGGGCAGCCAGAGCTGGTCACCAGGGCCCTGTGTCCATGTCCTTGACTCCCAGAAATTGGGCTGCCCAGTGGACCCAGCACTGTGCTGGGCTTCCCTAGGGCTGCCTGTGTCCTTCCACTGATAGGTACAAAGCCAAGCAAGAAAGGGTGACGGGACCCACAGGGAATCCGAGTGGGCTGAGGACTCCGGGAAAAATAGTGTGACAGGGAGGGGAGGCCCTGAGGCCTCGGGTAAGGCTGGGCCTTCCGAGGAGACGAGGCCCTTTGTTCTTACTTCCGGGCCCTCATCCCCCTTCTCCTGAACAGCTGGCAGCCACGTGCAACGTGGAGCAGTCCCTGTTCAATGACTGGTTCAGCGGGCACCTCAACTTCCAGATCGAGCACCAGTGAGTGCGGGCATGGGCAGGGCCGGGGACAGGTGGGCCACCTGCGGTGGGAGGGGACTGGCCCCCACCTTGTCTGAGCAGAGGGCGGCATTTGGGGACTCCTTCCCGCTCCCTACTGTTGAGATCCCCCCACCAAGCCCTGGAGCAGCCTCCTGGAGCAGGCCGGGGAGGGGTCCCTATGCCCTGTGCCACACGGTCGCGGTGACAACCATGCCCCTCACACGTGGCCGAAGCTTTCTCGTTACAGAGAGCTCGTACCCGCATCTCCCTCGGTCCTGTGAGCCTGGCAGGGCGGGACGGTTGATTCCCCTTTATTGACAGGGAAACCGAGGCCCATCGAGGTTAGACGATTTGCCTGGGACTCAGGAAGCCGAGCGGCTGCTCCTCAGACCTGCCGCCCCTTGTCCTTGCCCCATCCCTGTTTCTTCTCCTCTCACCCCAACTGCCCCCCCCACCCCTTCTATAGCCATCATTTCCTTTTTAGAAAAACACAGCATTTCCTGTCCCCAGAGCACAAACACGTCTATCCACAAACAACCCCCCTCCCCAGAGTGCCCCCCGCCACGTGCCAGCTGCCCCAGTGGGCACACAGGGAGAGCTGTGGGCAGGGTCTGCCTGGGCCTCGGGCAGCCTCTGGGCTGAGAGAGGAGGCACCTCACACCGTGCCCCCCACGCTCTCCCCAGCCTCTTCCCCACCATGCCCCGGCACAACTTACACAAGATCGCCCCACTGGTGAAGTCCCTGTGTGCCAAGCATGGCATCCAGTACCAGGAGAAGCGTCTGCTGAGAGCCTTGCTGGACGTCATCAGGTAAGGGGGGGCCCACGACTGCTGGGGCCCCTCGAGGCCCCTGGGGCTCAGGGAGAGGTCGAGAGGTACATAGCCGGGACCACCCATGGTGGAGACGGTGGTAACAACAAGCTGGCCCAGCCCCGCTGACACCCAGCCCCGCTGTCACCCAGCAGGCCACCTCCCTTACTAGGGATCATTGGGCTTCCCTTTGCCCTTCCACAGGGGGTCTCCTGGGGGGCCCTGAGTGGGCAGCGCCCGGTGGAGGGCCGAGAGGAAGCACCTGTGCCCGCAGCGTGGCCTCCCTGGCCCCTCCTCTCCTGGTCCCTAACTGTCCCATCCCTCTTTCTTCCCAGATCCCTGAAGAAGTCTGGGGACCTGTGGCTGGACGCCTATCTCCACAAATGAAGCTGCAGCCCTTGGGTACCCACGGGGAAGGGGGAGCCAGTGGGGACGGTGGCCAGAGGGAAGAGTGGGTTTTGGTTCCGAGGGGTGTCCATGAAGCTGGAGTACATGTTGGCTCACAGACCTCATTTTTAGTCTTTCTCCTGTTTTCCTGTTTTCCCTTCGCTTTACCCTCCAACACCTTCCCCCGTGGGGCCTGCCCTCTGTCAGCCCCTTCCCCCGGGACCAGAGAGAGGGGTGGCTCCTACCTGCCTCTGTCCCTAAACACCTGTCGGACCAGAGGTCCACAGGTGCGCCTAGCCCCGCCTTGCCACCCGCCACTCTTCCCCCTTTCCCCGCTCAGATGCTGGGTCCTAGCCCTGGCCCCACAGGCCTGGCTCCGCCCTCTCTGATGGCGCCCACGGTCTGCCCTTCTGTAAGGAGTGTCTTCTGCTCTGGGTCCCCTCCTCACCCCTGGAATCAGTACTTGGGGCCTCCCCGCAGGTGCCACTTTTTCTAAAATTGTCCAGGCCCCAGCCCTGATTCCCAGGCTCCCTTTTCCCTGTCGTGCAGCTAGCTCAGACCTGGGGGCCCAGGGAAACGACCTCCTCGCCCCATTGGAGCCCTCTGACCCAGGGCTCATGCAGCTCCTTCCCGCCTCCTTCCACCCTGTCCCTGCCTCCAGGGCCTGTGACCTTCAGTCCCAGGGGGTAGTGCTGCCGGTGGGTGCCGCAGAAGCAATGGCCGGGTTGGGGGTCCAAAGCAATGGCCACCGGGTTGGGGGTCCAGCTGGCCTGTAGGTTCAGCCGTGCCCCCCACTTCCATTCAGATGTCTATCCTAGTCGGGAGGCCTAACATTCGAGAGCAATCAGACCCCTCTCCAAAGAGCTCTGTCACCCGCCGGGCAGCTATGTTGAGGCTGCCAGTGTGTGCAGGCTGGCTCACTTCTGTTCTCGTGTCTTTTACTGGTTTTTTTTTTTTTAATCTTTTGCTACAGGATACATTCTGGTGGGGTGGTAGCGAGGCTGGGCCTTGTGACAATCTGCCTTTGACCACCTGCCACTCATGGCCTTCCCCATGCCCCGCGGGGGGCTGAGCCAGGCTCACTCACTGAGGCCATGGTGGCCCCGGTCACTGTCGGTGGGGGCAGAGAGAGAGGGAGTCCCAAAGGAGATAACCCTGAATATCTGGGGGATTGTGGGGGACCTAACGAGGGCTGAGTGGGAAGTTTGGCTAGGAGTTTGGGGCTGGAGGCCAGCAGCTGAGGGGACAGAAAGGAGTGGGAGGGAGGGGAGCCCGCCGGCCAGGGAAGGATCCAGTGCTTACAGAATTTGGAGCCCTAACCCACTAATCAATATTTAGCTTCAAGGGAAGGTGGGGCAGGAATGAGCTCAGAGTGGGGACCTTCGGGTGAAGGCTTCTCGTCCCCCAGCTCTGGCCAGCCTGGAGGGATCAGCATCAACTATGAACAGACCTTTGTGTTGCCATGTCAATGTGGGCCTCCCTGAGGCCCTGCTGCTGAGAACACACAGGCCCAAGGAGATGTTGCTGTCCCTCCCGATCCATAGGGAACTGATCTTAATTTTTATTGTGTTGCTTCCCCAGCCCTACATTTTTTGGGGAATAAAAGAAGTAATTTTATTCTCGTGTCCTTGATCAGCGACCGCCTTGGGCTCCTGCATGCTAATACTAGGGAATGCAGGGTGGACGAAGGGCCTGGGCACAGGGCGGAGGCTCGCTGGCACAGGCAGCCCTTCTCTGTCCCCCACCCCCCTCCCCATCCCCCTGCTGCCTCTGCTCATGAACTTCGTCTTCCTGTCTTTGAAGTGCACTCCAGACCAGGAACTTTGGGCAAATGACACTAATAAATTGTCCTGCCTTCCTCCTGAGAACTTTTAGCAGCTCACACAAACCCAACTCTAAATAGCCACTGGAGTCACCTGAGGCCTCCTTGACGGAGGCGCTTGCACAGGCCCTGACATCTTCATCTGGGACCAGCTGTGTGCCCACAGCCTCAGGTCAACTGCCTTCTGCCAGCCTCTGCTCTGCTAGCTTCCTGGTCATGTGTACAATGCTGTGGGAACAAAGAATCTTAGAAGCTCTGAAGAAAGGCCTGGAGGCTGAGGCTTCCATCTGTGGCCCCTGTGCTGGTGTGGTGGTTCATTTGGTCTCCGCACCCTGGGAGGAAGCCTGTGCCATATTCCAGCCCAGCATCACAAGTTCATAGGCAATGTCGCAGAGACTGGATCCTAGGTCTGTCCAACCCCTGACCTAGGAATAGTACAGGGGCACTCGTACGGTTTGCCCTGCCCCAGCCTGCACGCTGCTCCCCGATACCCCGCGTCTGGGCTGGCTTGGCGGGCAGGTCAAGCTGGTGTGCCAGGGAAGGGCCAGGAGGGTCACGGTAGCCTGCACTTCAGGGGCTTCCGACTGGCTTTGCATCTCCCCCCAGTCCCAGAGTAGATCCTCATCCCCCTCTTGCTTGGACAGTGAGCTCAGTGTAGTTGGCAGGGACGGCCAGCTGACCCCGGTAGGGTGTACGTGATTCCCCTGGTAGGGGCACTCAGTAGCACCAAGGAGCAGAAGCAGCCGTGAGACAGGAAGCAGAGACCCAGCCTGGCTCACTGGGTGGCCTTGGGCAAGTCCTTAGCTCTTCAGCCCACCAGTTTCCCCATTTGTACAGTGAAGGACTGGGCTAAGGCCTCCAAGGGTGATGTGATCTCGACACGTGTGAGCACTTAGCTTTGCCCTCTGGTAGACCCACTGGAGGGCTTTGAGGCTGGAAGAGCTTGGGGAACATCCCTTTCACCTGTGTGTGTGTTCTGCCTCCTACCTGGACTGGGCCTGGCACCCCCACTCACAGGATGGTACAGTTCAGGCTTCCTATTCCTGCCAGCTGTAGGTCCAGGGTCCATCACCAGTGACACCCAGGATCCCAGAGAGAGGGAGAGTGGCTGGGTGGGTACTGGGCTATGAGGGTACCATGGAAATCTTGGCTTAAGTCGATGGGCACTTGGATCTTCTCTGTGACTTCCTCCCCACCCCCGGCCCCACCTCGTCTTGAAGTATTAGGCTTGGGACAAGAGGCTGGGGATGCCCATACCTGCTCTCTGCCTAACTGCTCCTCCACAGAAGGGTGGGTTTCTGATCCCCACCCCCTGCCAAAGTCGTGACACTAACAAGCAAGGCCCTGAGTGATCACAAGACCTGAAGCTTCCATTCACAGGTAAGGAGGCTGAGTCCGGAGGGGTCAGGACTGGGCAGAGTCCACGCCGACAGCAGCCGAATCGGGGCAAGCGTGGTGGATCCTGGCTCCTCACCCAGCACCTGGCCATCTCCTTCACTCCCTGCAAGGAAGGACTATTTCCCAGACCAAGACTCACCCCCGCCCCATCCCATCAGGTGTCACACTGCTCCACAGAGGCCCAGGGGATAGCGGGAGGGGTGGAGTCGGTGGAGGAGATGAGCTCGCTCACGGCGAGGTGACTGAGGTGACTGCCCTGATAAAAGCATGTCAGCGTTGTGGGGAGTCTGTCACATGCAGGGTGCCAGAGGAGAGGCTGGCAGAGCAGCCTGGGCTGGTGTGGACTTGGAGCCCCAGAGGCGACCAGTGGCCTGGCAAGTTCCTCAGGGGTCAGCGGGACCTTCAAAAACCTTGACCTATTGAGAGGACAGAGGAGGCTTTTGGTGAGAAGGGGCAGGGTGGAGGTGGCAGCCACCCCGGCTGGGCTCCAAATGCCCTCAGGAGTGACCGGCCGCTGCTCACATGACACAGCGCCTTGGGCCAATCAGGACTTCTCAACTGTCCCAGCTGTACCTTCTCCAGGAGGGATGCAGCTTCTCAGAGAGCCCCTGCTCTGACATCTGAGACGGAAATAAGCTGTGGATCCCAGCGGGGCGCCTACGACCACCTATGAAGAAACTGGGGCCAGGAGGGAGAAGGCGGGCCCCGGGCCCCAAACTCTAGTGCTCTTCCGGCTGGAGTTCGTGTTTCTAACCAGACAGCCCCCGCCGAAGTAGAACAAGCGGCTGCCAAGCATGCGACGATGTAAACATCACGGGTCTACCGTCCCCACCATTATGAATATATGTATCTTTGAATTTAGAAGGCACTTAGGTCTTTCTTCCAAATCATTTGGTTCAGGGGCAAGTGTCTGGAGAATCAGCGAAAGGTACTGGAAGCTTCGGAAGGGACGAGAAGGAGACCTAGGCGGCCAGGTGCTCCAGGGCCTGTGGGGGAAGGACGGACACGTGGGAAGAGCCAGATCTAGCCCGTCACAAAGGAGTTGGTTCGTCTCCCCTCCAGCCTGGTTCTCTTTCCCCACACGCTAACCTGGGCCAGCCCATGTAAATAAACGCCGGTCGCCCTTTAAAAGAGCAAGTGAGCAAATCGTGGCTTTCCTCGGTCGTTTTGTGTTTCCTCGGGGCCCAAGACTGTGCAGACCATAAAGCAGGGGTGGAGTTTCTTACACACTCCACCTAGGCCCTTCCTGCCTTCCTTCTACGCACCTGGCCCGTACTCCCTAAGTTCTTGCTTGGTGACCGCCTGAGAGAAGGGAGAGCTCAGTTCGGGAGAAGGGTGATGACTCCAGGGGCTCTAGCATGGGGGACAGCGAGACAAGGGTTAAGATGACCCGCCAGTGTAGGATTCCAGGCCAGAAGGAGAGATCTGGGGGTGGCTACTTGAGGCGAGGGGGCCTCCCCAAGGGTCCTTTCTGCAAGTTACCCATTTGCAGACAGGAGGGGACCCTCCCCACGGCCACCGCCAGGGGCAGCATGGAGCATGGCCCCACAATGGTGCAGATACTCAGGGTGCCCCTACGTGGTGCTGCTAGCTCAGCGGTCGTGCTGGGCGGGGACCTGCTGTTCTAGGGTCCAGGATGTTAATATCTCCCTGATAAATGCGTAAGAGCCACTGCAGACAATGCACTGACCATCTGCCCAGGCAGTGGATAGAGGAAATGTCACCCCAGGGTCCACATGGCACCAGGAGTCTTCAGGGGCTTCCACAGATGGCCGGCCATGGCTAGGGAGACTCCCAGTAGTGGTAACAGTCTGTCAAGGACCCTGAATGTGGGACCAGCTCTGGACATAATGAGTTTGCTTTCAAGGCAAGAAGTACCTTTCAAGGAGGAAACAGGCTCAGGCACAGCCAAGGTCAGAGCAGGCCCCAGGACATTGGACTGTGCGCATAAAATTTCTCAATAAATTCATGAGCTCTGTTCCTGTGGCCGATGCAAGGAACATCCCTTTCATCTTCCATCAGCCCAGGAGGTCATACCACCATTCAGAGCGGTTGAGTAACATCCCAAAGGTCATACAGCCTTGAGTCCCGGCAGAGACAGGACGTGCCTCCCGTCTGCCCGACTCTGGAGAAGGGAGACCACGTGGAGTGGAGCAGGGTGGGGCCGGGTGCTCCAGGGAGGGACTGAAAAGGAATTGCAGTATTCGTGCTCCTTCTGCTTCCTGAAGGGAAGCCAGTTCACCGCAGTGGGGGCCCTGACGAAGGGCGGGGGGCAATCCTGCAGCTGTTGGGGAGACCCCGGCTCCCACCCCAGAAAAGCTCTCACAGAAACCCTAGCTCGGCATTTCAGTATTTTCTTTAAGCTGCTGACACTTCTTCAGAGGAAACCTGCAGCTCAGCCTGGGGCTACGGGGATTGGAGGGGTCCAGCAGCTCAGCTCTCCCTTCTTCCCACCTCCAGGAAGGGGCAATTCAAAGTCCTCCCAGAACTGTCGAAAACCACGGGCCCACGCCCACCACACCCATTTTTCAGATAAGGAGCCTGAGGCTTGGAAAAGGACAGCGCCCGCCCAAAGATACCAGCCAAGCCCGGGCAAGCCCCTGGACACTACCCTCAGAATGCAGGGACAGAAACGGCCACTTCTCAGGGGTCCGGCTCAGTCATTGCGAACACTGCAGGCAAGCGCCTGGCCCCAGGCAGGCATGGGGGAAAGTGTCACCTCCTGTGGGCCACTGAGCAGGTATGCTGTACCCCTACTGCGGTGATGCCAAGTACGGCCCAAGGCTGGCAGCTTGCCTGTGACAGCCCTCTGAGGCCCCTCATCCCAAGGACTGCGGGAGGAGGCCAGCGCAGGTCCGGGACATGCTGGCTTCCCCGTCCTTTGCTCTAGGGGTGCCTGCAGACGTGGCCCTCAGCCCCAGGTCCTCATTCGCTGGACTGGCCTGTCCTGCTGTGCGCAGGTGTAAAGTGAGGTGAGTCCAGGGGATCTGCCCAAAGTTGCCGGTGAGCGGGTGAAGAAGAGGCAGGGACTAGGCAGACCTGAGCCTGAGGCAGCTGCCGCTCAGCGTGGCAAGGAGTCCCAACAGCCACCATCCAAGCCCCGTCCCCAACACCCTGATGGCCTAAAGGCCTGAACTCCTCTTGGGGATCCTGGCAGCCTCCGGCTCCAAAATGCATGAAAATTCAACACTCAACTCCATAATATATCTAGGTTTATTTTTATATAAAAATAACAGTTTTCCCTAAATTTTTGGTCCAGGGAAACATGCCATGCTCAGTGTGTGGCTTTACGTACCTCTCCCCCCAGCCCCACATCCTCCAGGGCAGAGAGCTGCAGCCTTAGCTCTGCTGGGTAGACAGGCAAGGGGGCCACGGGGAAGGCGGCAAAACCAGGAGACCAGGCAGGGCGCCCCAGGCCCGGGCGGGGGGCGAGCCCGCGCGGTAGGTGCTGGGGCCCTGGGGGCTGCCTTCACTGGTGGAGGTAGGCTTCCAGCCAGACGTTGCCAGACTTCTTCAGGGACCTGGGAGGTACAAGTGGGTGTTGGGGACCCAACTGCAAGATACCAACCCCCTCACCACAAGACGATGAGTGTGAGTGGAGGTACCCCCATTCCCGTGCGTCCCCTTCCCCTGGGGCAGGCGGCTGGGTAGGGCTGGAGGGATGGATGGGGAGATGAGGCTACCCTCTCATGAACTGGAGTGGACTCTAGACCGGGGGTAGGGGGAAGGGGAGGGGCATAGCCAAGTCCAGGCAGGGGCCAGGGTAGGCCTGACCCTCCTTCCTCCAGCTCTGTCTGTTGCCTCCTTCTGCTGGACCCTGCGACTCACCAGGAGCCTGCGGTCAGGCAGAGGAGCCAGAAACATCAACAACTCGCTAGGAAACCCTGTGACAGGCGTTCTAAGGGGGCTGGGCCGAGCGGCAGGGGCTCAGAGGATCAGGCTGGGAAGGGTCGTGAAGGAGAAGCAGGAACGTCAACGCCCGTCCAGGAGGAAGGGCATCTGAGCAACGGGAGCAGCGTGTGCCAAGGCACAGAGGCGGAAGAGCTCTGGCCGGGGAATCTGACCTCCGGTCCCCAGGACGAGGGCGCGGACCTCGACTCCGCTCTTTCTGCTTTGGCCTCTGCCCTGTCAGCGCATTCTCGAAGTCAGGGCACCTTTCAGAACCTAAGTCCTGCGTGTCCCTCCTCTGCTCAGCAGCTCTCCCACACACCAGCACCTGCCTCAGGGCCTTTGCACTGCTGTTCCCTGGCCCGGAATATTCCCTCAGATGTCTCCATGGCCAGACCTCTCCCCTCCTCCCTGTCTCTGCCCACTCGTCACCTTCTCAATACCACCCACCCTGCCGCCCTATAAAAACTGCCACCCCAGCCCCTCTCCCGCCCCGCCCCTTAGTTTGGTGGTTTTGTCTTGTCTCTGTCGAAGTGCTTCCCCCCGTCTCACATTTCCTGCGATTTACTTGTGAGTCTAATGGCTTATTTTCTGTTTCCTCTGCTCAGGCGCCAGTGCCAGGAAGGCAGGGATCGCAAGCCTGTTTCCTCACTCTGTATTCGCAGCACCTCGGACAGGGCCTGGGCCCCGGGCTGGGGGTGTGTGGGCGAATACCGGAAAGGGCGGAGGGCTGAGGCTGATGACGGCGAGGCTGATGGGAAAGGCCGTGAATGCCACGTCTTAGGGAGGGACCCGTGTGGGCTCAGAGAGGGGACCAGCGGGGACAGGGGTGGACAGGGATCCTGGGGGAGCCGCCACGAGCAGAGGGCCCTCACCCAACTATGTCCGCCAGGGCGGTGAGGAAAGGCTTCACGTCGTAGCTGAGGCCGTGCTTGGCGCATAGCGCCTTGACGAGTGGTGCCACCCTGTGGTAGTTGTGCCTGGGCATCGTGGGGAAGAGGCTAGAGCGGGGAGAGCTTGGGCTGGCACCTGAGGTGGTGGGGGTGCCAGAGGGAGCACCCCATCACCACCCGGGCCCTGCTCGCCTCCCCTCTCAGGCCCCCAAGGAGTCCAGGGCTCATGTCTTGACCTCCCCAGGGAGAATCACTGCCACCCCTGTTGCACCCCAGGGCCCACACTCACTGGTGCTCGATCTGGAAGTTGAGGTGCCCGCTGAACCAGTCGATAAAGAGCGAGGGCTCCACGTTGCAGGTGGCTGCCAGCTGCCAGGAGGAAGTGGGGCACAGGCGAGGGAGGCTGGCACCCCCTGAACCTGGCAGCCCCATCGATGCCCCCTTTCCTCCCAGCTGGGACCCCACCCCCACTCCCAGGAGGTTCCGCACTTGGCCCGCCCCTGCTGTCCACCTGTGAGCTGGCCCAGTCCCGGTGCTTCTCGTGGCCGATCTCCTTGGGGATGTGGTTCATCTGCGTGATCCACACGAACCAGTGGCTCTCTAGGACCCTGCGGGGGGAGGCTCAGGCACTGCCCCACGTCCAGCTCACCCCTCAGAGTGGACTGGGCCTCTGCTTCCTCATCTGTACAGTGGGACGCAGTGCCCCCTCCCCCACAGGTGTTTACAGCAGCCGAGCCGGGCAGGCTCCATGCCAGCCTGAGCCCAGAGCAGCCCTGCTTGTGAGGGTGAACGTCCACAGGGCCACTTCCCCAGCCCTGCCGCCCCTGGGAGCCCGCCACCCTGGCGTTGATTCTCCCACGACCCGGAGAGGCAGTCCTGCTGTTCCCATTCTGCAGACGGGGAAATGGAGGCTCCGAGGGTGAAGGACTGCAGCCAGCGTCCCCCGCTGCCTGTGGGTGACCTCCCTGGTCCCTGCCATTCTGAACCTGGCCATACCTGACAGCCACAAAAAGGAGCAGTGCCCCAGGAACGCCATAAAAAGGGATGTAGGACAAGAAGAAGCGGGAGTAGAAGCTGGCGGCCCAGAGCAGGTCCTGCGGAGGGGCGGGGAGAACAGTGGTCTCAGAGCAGCCGGGAGGAGCCCAGATGACCCCAGATGACCCATCCCTTCTGCCTGAGGCGCCTCGGAGCCCTGGACAGGTCATGGCCCCTCTCTGGGCCGCGGTTTTCTCAGCCAGGTAAAGGGACAGGGTCCTTGCCTTGCCAGGTGAACGTGGAGGTGAAGGTGCCATGACGGGGCTGAGAACGGGGAGCCCCTGCCTGAGAGGCAAAGGCCTGGCAGAGTCGGCCCAGCAGGTCCCCACCCCAAGGGAGGACGTCCCCACCCTGAGAGACCCATGCCATGCCCCGAGGACACTCACTCTCCCCTCGCACACGTGTACCACACTATTGCACACATACATGCACACCTGTTTGCATTTGTGGGCAGGGGCTGCCCCCTAAGTCCCCCTCCTGCCACAACGGTGTTCCTGGGGGCCCTGAGTGGGGCCCACTCACCGTCCACTGCATGCACACCAGCATGTACGCCAGATTTTCCACCTCGAAGTTCACCAGGGTGAGCAGCGGGGGCCCGACTGAAAGGCAGGCGTGAGGGGCTCAGGGCAGGGGAGGGGCGCCGAGCAGGCTGCGCAGACGTGGGGGGGCCGCTGCTCCAGGAACACCTGAGCCCTCCCAGGCCGGCTCTGGCCTCACCCCCTTCCACATCCGTCTGCAGGTTGGGGCCAGCTTTCTATGTCCCCACCCTTGAATCCTCACCCTGTCCACCCTGGCAATTGCCCAAATGCTCTAGGGCACTGGACCGCCCTGCCGTGAGAACAGGGAGGATTTCTGAAGGCTCCAGGCAGGGCTGTGACTACCTCCGGCTGGAAGGCACCGCAAGCAGAGGGATCAGCCTGGGCAAAGGCCTGGCGAGGGGACGGTCAGAATAGGCTGCAGGCTGGGGTGGCAGAGCAGAGGCTGGGAGAGGCTTGAAGGTTAGTAAGTGCCCCTACCCTGGGAGGTGGCCAGAAGCCACCCGGTGTTGGCAGACATGGGAGCAGATAGTGCAGGCTCAGGTGTGGTCCCCACTCCAGCCATGCACCCACCCCTGGGGGGACAAAGGGATACTCACTCAGGAAGAAGTACAGGTGCTGGTGATTGTAGGGCAGGTATCTGCGTTTCTTCCTGCCGTACTGTGGAGACAGGCGGCGGCTGAGGGGGCAGCTCTCTGGGCCCCCGTCCTCCCGGGCAAGGGGCTGGCTAGGGCCAAGGGGCCAAAGCCACTCTAGATTCTAGCAACTGGGACCACGGTCACCAGCAGGCTGAGCCGTGGGGAGGGGGCACCTCTGGGGCAGGGGCCCGGCCTGGAACTGGAGTGGAGGGCTAGCTTGAGGGCTGGGACTGGGCCACAGCTGGGGGGCTGCGGTCGCTACCAGTCCCCCCTCAGCTGCAAGCCCAGCCCGAGTGTGCCCACGTCCTCCCCATGCACCTCAATGGACGACTCCCCCAGGAGGAAGATGGGCGCCACGGTCACATCGGGGTCCTTGTGGAAGACGTTGGGCTTGGCATGGTGCTGGAAGTGGCGGAAGTTCCACCAGTGGGCGGAGAAGCCCTGCGGGGGGAGGGGGCGCTCAGCGTGGGGCTGGGCCGTGTGTACCCCACGGGCGCCCCACCTCAGCCTCTGGCCGCGCACCACCCACCCCACCCTCACCTTCAACTGTCCCATCACGAACTGCTGGGCCACATGGTTCCACCGGGACTTCCTGAAGACGGAGGTGTGGCCCAGGTCATGCTGCAGACACCAGCTCTGAGACTGGGGACAGAGGCAGGCTCAGGAGCCCTGGCACCTTGGCTCCAGCCACGGGGGGCGGGGGGGCTGGCTGCCTGGGGGCCCAGCCCCAGGGCCCCAGTGAGCCCTCCCAACCCACCAGGCACCCCCACAGCTGATGCTCCATTTTAAGACTCTGGGCACCAGCTTCCTCATTTTACAGAGCACTGGGTTTCGGGGGCCTAGGGGGCCTGCGTGTCTGTCATGGAGCGTGGGGCAACAGCCCTCTGGCTCCCCGCTCACGGCTCACCCGGGGTTAAGTAAAGACATTTAAAACACAGTGTGACCCTCAGGTACATGTACGGGGCCGCTAGCTTGTCGCCCATTTTTTCATTTGTTCATTCATTCATTCATTCAGCAAGCATGTCCAGACTGTCTTCATGTGCCAGGCCCCGCGTCCGTTGGCCAGTTTAGGGGGCCGCAAGACAGTGCTAGAGTCACCTGGGAGATGGCCAGGACGAGGGCAGTGAGGGTGCTGGGCACCCAGCCAGGGCCGAGGAGGTAGATGATGAGCCAGGCGAGCACCTCCATGGCCAGGATGTGGCCCAGCAGGAAAGCGAAGAAGGTGGGACTGGCCTCGAACAGCTTCATGTCCTCGGCAGCCTGGCGCAGGGCTCGGAAGTCCTGGACCAGCTGGGCCTGGCACGGTGAGTGGCCAGTCAGACGAGGAAGCAAGGCCCCAGTTGTCCACAGAAGCCCCCCGCCCCACAGCCACTCCTCCCATGACAGGCCCAAGGGGTGTGGCCAAAGGAGACACAGGGCAAGATCACCCGGCTTGGGGTGTGAGCTGGGCTGCTGCCTGGTGGCGAAGGCTCTCCTGCCAAAGGTGGCGGGTACGTGAGAAGCAGAGAAAGCTGGAGTGGGCAAAACCCCGAGAGCTCAACTCATCAAAATCCTCATTATAGATAGGGATGCTGGGCCCAGAGCAGGGAAGGGCTCACCTGGGGCCAAGTGCTGGCCCAGCCAGAACTAGGGCCATGGGCTCCTGGCAGGTATCCCTACAGCTCTGCCTACAACTGTCTACCAAGGAAGGGATGGTAAACTAGCCTTGGCCCCAGGTCCCCTGGGGGTAATGCAGACGGAGCTGCTAATGGCAATGTCCCCCTCCAGGGGCCCTGCTCACATTCTGGGGTCCATCCTGGCTGGGCTCCTCCGGGGCCAGCTCTCCAATCAGCAGGGGCTGCAGGAACTTGCGGACAAAATTGAGGTCCTGGTGGAAGGCGTGGAAGGCATCCTGAGGGAGAGCAGACAGTCAGGTGGGCAGACAGACAGACAGCTGGAGCAGCACCCAGAGGCAGCGGGCAGAGACAAGGTGGAAGGGCTGTCGATGGAAGGGCAGAGCAGACACAGACAGATGGACGGACAGTCAGTTGGTTACTCAGCGGACATATTACTAGAAGCTCAAGGGCCAGCCTTGCCCACGAGCCTGCACCGGTCCTCCCCAGGCCCCGGGTGCCCTGCCAGACACCCCTCACCAGCTAGGCTACAGCCACTTCACCCAGCACAGGGGGCTCGTCTTCAAACCTGCCTGGGTGAATAAAAGTCTTGATTTGCATTAAGTCCTCCCTGGAAGACTGATTTCCACCATGACAGCATTCAACTTTTCAAAAAAAAAAAAAAAATCTATATATCTATATATATAGCTTTCTTGAAATCATATGCTTTTCTACTACATATAAAATGAGGTTTGGGTCACAAACATCCCATTTACCCAGCTTTCACAAACACAAGCAGTGGGTACAGTGTGGGTGGGGAAACTTGTAATTAAGGACCAGTGGGCCAATGGGAGCAAAAAAAAAAATCAGTTAAGGGCCACACAGACTGAGTTCTTAGCGGGTTGCCAGGAAGATCTTCAA